AAATACCTAAAAAATATTTGAAAAATATGTACGTCACTGCCAATGCGCCCTCTACCTCCCAGCACCACCGACTCCGGTCGCCGGAAAAACAAATGTCATCTTGTGTAAATAATGACACATTTCTCCGAAAATGCCACATTTCTCTGAAAATGTCATAAATATGACATTTTTACTCTTTGAAAATATCCAGTTTTCTCTTGCTTTCTCTTCAAAATTGCCATCATGATGATATTTTTTCCCCAACTTGGCAATCTTTTCCGGCGACCGGAGGTGGCAGTGCTGGAAGGTGGCTGAGGAGGTGGTTGAGGTCTATATATTTTTTAATTATTTTTTATGATTTTTGTTTTTTATTTTTTTTATATTTTATAATGATTGTTTAAAAATCCTATTATCAAGGACAAAGGAAAGGGTAGAATAGGAAGAGGTAGTCCTATTTTGAGAATTTAAACTTTTAACTCCTATTGTTGCAATTATCCTTTTATTTACTCCTATTTAGGTAAATATCCCAATAAAGAATCAAACAGATTCCCCCTTTTCGGCCCATTTTTTATACAATATTTCTGAAATTGAATAACCTGAAACCTAATCGAACTAAAGTACATCGGATCGTCAATCGAATTGTGCACCACTAATAATAACGATCATGTTCATACAATGTATTCCGTATTTAATATTTCACTATAAATCTCTACAATTCTATAAACATGAATAATGTTAGGGGTATAACGGTCATAGAAAAAGTGTTGGCGTCTCTCTATGCATTAAACAGTTGTACGGAATGCCTAATTTACTTCCCCCATAAATCATACGGCAAGCACAAGACTAACGGAACCCTTCCGCTTACACTCGATTGAATGTGTTCATCCATGCTTCCTGTTCAATTAAATTTGTTAGAGCTTCCTTACTCACCATTATTGCTTCTGCCATACCCTCCATCCTCTACGTTTTTCCGTTCAGAGTGTTTAAGGGGTCGCCCTGATACCGGAAGAGTGAAGAACCCAAGAAGAAGGTTCCCGGGTTTGGGAATTCGGTATACACCGGGCTGACTGTAACTCGTTTTTAATACTCCCTATTAATATGTATTGCAAAAAAATGTCCTGGGACCAGGGCCCCTCCCTCTGCCCCTGGTGGAGAAGCTGCAATAGCCAACAGTGCAGAGGCAGCTAAAGGACTTGCCGCTGGCGTCTGGCAAGGTGGAGGAGTAAGCTTCCGTTTTGACATATTTATAACATTGAAAACCCCGTCTTCATCCACGGAAAACCCCATTTTTGCCATTTGCCATCTGCATTTCTTCTATTTTACATGAATTTTTCTTTTCAATTCATGTGATCTCATTATTCTTTAAATAAACTTTCTTTTAATTAGAATGCTTGATTTGATTTATATGCTATATGATTAAAGCTGATAATATTATGTTAGTTAAAGATAATAAGTATTGCTTCTTAATTTACATTTGGATGTTACTCCTTCACAGGGTTCTTTAGTTTTGAAAACTCGCTCAAATAAAAAGTTTAAATCTCAATCCATATATGGCTATTTTGTTATTAGGATACTTCTTTTAGTGCAGGTTATGAGTATTGCTTCTTAATTTACATTTGGAAGTTTCTAAATACTTCTTTTAGTGCAGGTTATGATGTCTGCTCTATGGTTTTGTAATGCCCAATTGTTATAAACTATAAGTAAATTTGTCCATATATTTTACTTTTGTTATAGGGATAGTAGTATATTTGTCAAGTTTTTTAAGGTATGTTATGCTTCGTTACCATTCTTAAATGTTTATTTCTTTACCATGATGTTTAGTTGTTGACTGTGTCACAAATGATAATTACGGAGTATATTGCTGCATGGTTATACTTGATGCTACTCTTTTATCGGGCTCTGTAATAGTGGGTTTCTTCTTTGATGTCTATTGGTGAGCCATATTATATGGCTTATCAGCCCAATTCATAAGTTTTTGCTTTTTTTATATACAGACACTACCCAAATTCGTTAAGCATTTACTCTCATATGTTGACATGGTTGTTTTCATACGTTCTGATTTCATATGTGAATTTGGATGCACTTACTACAGTAGATTTTTGTATGAAATGACATTAAAAATACTTCAACACCAGTGCCATAACAACAAGGCTCTGCTATTACTGCTGCTATACATGGGTTCATCCTACATAAAGTGTTATCATGATGAAGATATCATCATCATAGTTGTGTTAGAAAACACCCTCAGTAGGAACAAGCCATGTAATAAGTTTTTTGGGAGGCTGGGAGCTTGTGTATATTGTTATCTGTTCTTAGTTACTACTACATATTATGTTATTTAATTATATTGTGACTTGTCTCTCCTTCATTTTTACAGTGAGAGAAATAAGAGTATAATTCTGCAGTCGATTTGGTATACCAAATCAACTGTATTGGCTATTCATATTCCAAACTTTCATGCCAATTTTTTTCAATGATTAGTAGTTGCTTTACAAATGTCATATATTGAGTGACGTTTCATTATAGTATTTCTCTTTTGGTTATCGAATCATCTTTATCACAATTTCTAAATGTTGATAGTAGAAATCTGCAATGCTTAAGTTTTTTCAACTTTGTATGCAATAGTACTGAATGCTCAATTGCTTATAGTTTTTACAACTAAAGAAATATCTACATGGATTGTTTATTCTTTTCACAAGTTCGTGATATTGTTTTTTGTTTTTTCGTCAGAATTGAGGAGAAAATGGCTGAATGGAAAGTGCTAGGCTAAAGTTAGCAAATGTGTTCCGGCAGCCTCTTTACATATTAACCACAAATGAACAACTCCTCAAGAATGAAGAATATAAAGAGAGAGCTTCCATGAAAGCATCTACCAACTATTTTATTTGGAATTAAAACGTGCATAACCATTTTATATTTAAAATTAAAAATTATATCATTAAATATGATTGACACAATAATCTCATATTTAGAAAGTGGGTTGGTTTACAAAATATGGCAATGTGTAAATTTTTGAATGATTTTGAAAAATATGAAGTGATTTTATTTTAATTAAATGTAATGTTACTATTAGTGTTTGTTTAAAAGTTGTCACCATTTGTTAAAGATGAATGCAGATAATATACTATGTATAATTTTATTAAACTTTTAATTGTGTTTCACAATAATACATTAGTGTATGTATGCTTTATCTTTATTTGTTAAATTAATATGCTTGTAATATCATTGGGCATTTACACGAACGTGCATAGCACGTTACTGAACTAGTGACTATGATAAAGGCAAACACATATTGGTGGTGCTTGGAAAACGGCGTTTCAACAAAAAAAGAGCGGCTTGTACGCCTTTTAACGTTTTCAATAATTGAAAACGTTGTTTGGTAAATAGCTGTTTGGCCTTATCATTTTTGTATTGAATCGCTGAAATAGAAAAACCGTTGTTGGGTTAATATGCCCGATAGCAGGTCGGCCCATTATCCCTTAACATGAGAACCATCAAGGCCCATCTTGGGTACGGTCCAGCAGAAGGTCTGATAGACGCTCATCGGGGAAGACGACACTCGTCCTAAGAGTCGGTCCCAACAAGGGCCAAGTGATATTGCGGGATCCTCGGATGCGGTCCTGATCGCCATATGGATCCACACCCTTGTACATTACAGGACCCAAGCCCGAAGATTTGGAGGACGCTCGTCCTCGGCCCATGGAATACGAACGAGACCACATCCTTGGCCCATCAAAGATCTCGATCTGACTCAGCAAGACGTTCATGTGATATTATGACGGAAGACCAAGATATTGGCGGGAAGCGCATTTAATGTAGTAGATTCGGTGATTGGGAAGCTGGCCATCTACAATCCTCCACATCAGAAATACTACCTACCTCTTGGTAGTATAAATAGTAACATTTATTTCATTGAAAAGGTTAACAACTTATTATCCTTAGCAAATAGCAATTGTCTTAGCTCCTATTGATGAGGTAAGACGAACGGCCTCGGGGCTAGTAGTTCAAGTGTGTCGTATATGGACTCTTATTATCGCTTAATAAGATACGACCCACTTACTACGCTTTATTTGACCCATCTTTACTTGCTTGCATCTTAATCCACTAAACTGACCACTCGAAATCCAAAAGAAACGTGTTGAGCCTTTAGGTTGAATGAATAAACCTGCAAATGGGAGAGTTCTAAGTTAATGCTTTGAAATATGGTATTTTTTACAACCTATCCTAGCTTATTTCGCTAGCCAAACCTAGTAACTGATCTAGCTATTGACAACCCGATAATACAATCAACTATCTGTTAACCGCTAAATGCCAATCACGTCCATAAACTTTAGTGATGCCTTTATACATATGTTATATTTCAGTAATATTTGAAAAATAACTCTTAAACATTAGTAATAAAAAGAATTACGTTTGTAAATGAACGAAGATATATAGAATATTTTGTTGATTTTTTTGGGATATACTCGCACTTCTATTATAATATACTCCCTCCGTCCCTTAAATGTTTGCCAAGTTTGACCGCCACGTAGAATAATAAAGTAAAAAGTGTGTGGTGGATATTTGTGCTGAATAGAGAGAAATAACAGGACCCACAAATTGATAGATTAAAAGAAAAAGTGACAAAGTTTTTGGGACAACCAAAAAAGGAAAATTGACAAAGTTATAAGGGACGGAGGAAGTAGGATTTTTGCTAAATGACAACATTGTTAAACTGAGATGAGTTTTGACCGTTGAACTGAAATGAGTTTCTACCCTATAACTTTCTTTAGGAGTGTCACAATTATGTCATGGAAGTATTATGTGCTTGGCATTTTGTGTTGATTTTAATTACAATTTTACTTAATATTACATTTGTCCCAATGAACATTGCACACTTTGAATTAGGAGAAAAATAAGAAATGGAAATATTGAATGGTTGAAACATTTGCAAAGAAGAGAGAAATGAACAAAATCACAATTTAATTTCTTAAATTAGAAAATTACCTAATTTTTTTAGAAATGAAAAAGAAAAAATAGATAAAGTCCTACGCGAGGACGGAAGAAGTAGTTGCTTACTTGCTTGTGATATCATCTTAAGAATTAAAAAGTTCAATGGAGCTAACAAAGATTTGAACTTTGGAAAAAGGAGTAATCATTCAAAAATGGCAGCCGGATTGTAGTGTACCGAACTGCCATTTCGGTTATACCGAGCCACACTTTGCCTAGTCTGTTCATCATCAATTGGCGCTTGGATAATTTTGATTTTGGAGAAGCCATGGATGACACGGGAATCGACAAGATACAAATCTCAGGCCCAACCCTCGCCGCCCTCCTCCACCGTTTCTCCGCCGCTCCCGGTGACCTCCACGGCCTTCTTTATGGTAATCTTTCTTTCTCCACCACAAACTCTCTCTCCGATGACACCTCCGCCTCCACTTCCTCCTCCGCCGCGGACGGCTCCAGCGGCCCGACCCTCACTGCAATCGTCACATCCTTCACCTCTGTCCCTGCTCACCTCTCCCTCCCTTACAAGTCCCACAGTCAGGAGCCATCCTCAACCCTCATCGGCTGGTTCTCCGGCCGCCGGAGAACCGCCCCCCGCCCCTCGCTTCACGACTCTACCACCACGTTGTCCCTCAACTCACTCACTTCTCTATCAATCACTCCCCAGAACTCCCCGCATTCCGTCTCTCTTCCCCCTTCTATCTTCATTCTCCTTACGACGCCGTTCCAGGACCAGCTCATACACACCCATGAGTATAAGGCTTTCCAATACCGGATTTCCACCTCTTCTTTCGATCCCAAAAGCCTTGATATCATCAATATTGGCCCGTTTTTCCGATCTCATTACGAGTCTTTCTGTCCGAACTCTCCATTTCCTTCTTTGACCTGTGACTTGAGGTGCTCCAATGCAATGGTTGAGGATGAGAAAACTGAGAACCCGGCTGGAATTCAACAGGGAGTGAAAGATCAAAAGGAATTGGATATGTGTGCAGAAGGGTTTGAAGTTGCCAGATTCAGTAACCTATTAGGGTCTAATGCAGCCAATTACACTGCTGAAGTAGAGCAGTTGTACGGGAAAATGCTTGCCAAGCTTGACAGCTTGTCCAGACTGGTGGAGAAGAGCTCTGCCAGAGTTCTTGAACAGGTGAGAACATTGCATGATGGAAAGACAACTTTTGTTCTACATTAAGCATTTCATGTGCACCTTTTTTCTTATTATTGTTTTCTCCATGTGAATTGCACCCGCTATATATGCTGTACTCTGAATAATTTGACACCTAATTTTTTAATGTTGACAGGAAAATCATAATTTGAAACTAAGGTGCAAAGTTGCTGGCCTGCAGTGAATTTGTGTTGTTACTTTGCTGACCAAATCATAGACCTTGCTAAGGTGAATTGATCATCCTTATTAAGTTCGAGATCATATAAACTTTTGTGATTTGGGGCCTACCCTATCCTGATCCAGCTTTACAACTTTCAGTCCCATTTGGGTTGGGAAAAAATGTGTGCATAAAAAATGATATTGACCAGGAATAGGATTTATGAGAGCAGAACAGGTTGCTAAAGCTGTGCTTTTTGTTTACATTTTGGAAGGTGCCTTCATTCATCCATAAAAAATCGTTTTGATATGTCATTGAGGTGACTTCTTTTGGGCGGAAAGAAGGATCTCATAAAAACTGAGTTACTTGTCCTGCTGTTAGGTTAAGGGTTAAGGCCCAGTACTGGTTGTTATAGGTTATCTGCACGAAGGAAAATACCTATTACATAGTATATGATTTTGAATCCATGGCATGTGCATTACATATGGTTTCTAGCCTCCTTTCTATGTGACTGGTAGATCCATGGAACCATTTTGAGGTAATCTGTGGGTATTTTTTTTGTCAATGCAATATGAACATTCTTAATTTCTTCTTTTTATTAATTTTTTGTGTACTACTTTCTCATTTCGAATTATTTTCTTTTATGATTTTCAAATACTTAATGATTTATGTCTATTTAGTATGCTTATTTTATATTTTACATTTGATGATTATGTCTCTGTTTGCATCGAGCCTCCACTTTGTGAGTCTGAAGTAAATTATCCTAAGCTCATTCTAGCTTTTCTAGAACTTGTGTTTGATGCATTTGTTGCAACATAGGTTTTAGGTGCCATAGTTCGCATGGATTGATGAATGTGCCTTTCTCTAGGCCTTTGTCAGGGAGGGCAATCAGAGACAATTGTGTATATTATCACACCCTCTTTAGTGGAAAATTTCTCCTCCCCACCACCCACCTGGAAATCTTTAAGCAAACCATAATCCCCTCCTGCTTCACTGTATAAACGTGATTAATTAATTACTTACATAAACTTTAGTTTCTATACTCCGTTTTATGTTAGACATTGATTTTTTTAATATATGTGAGTGTTTTTTTATGTATGTACATATGCAATAGGTTCAAATTTCTTTAAACACATATTTATGCATACTTACTCTGTTCTTTAATTGTTTCAAGCTTTGACTTTAAGAAAAATGGGGTTATGATTGATATTGAATTGATACAACAACAACAACATCCAAGCCTTAGTCCCAAAAGATATTGGGGACGGCTAACATGAATCGATACATGATATCACAACCAAAAGGAAAAGAAGGAATAAAGATAAAAAGATAAGCTATTATGAAAAGATAATATAAAAAAAGATGAATATATATAAAAATGATAAAATAAAAAGGCTGCAAATAATGCTTATATATATATAAGGATAAAAAAAACTAGGAAAAAAGATGAGGAAAAAAGATTATCAAGATCACTCCTTCACGTGAATACCCGCCTTCCACTTAATTCTATCCAAAGTCATGCCCTCATCCAACCCCAGAAGAAGCATATCACTTCGAACTCCCCTAACCCACGTCTGTTTGGGTCTTCTTCTCCCTCTCTTCCCTGTCTCTTCTCCTGATAGAGAGCGGGAAGAGCATGGGGCGGGACCGGGCTTGGGCCCACTTCCGTGGGCCGAGTTAGGTCTGTCGTTATAGTTTAATTATTATTATTAAGTTAATGTTATGTTTTAGTTTGGGCCTATTATTAGTAGAGTAGTTAGTTGAGTTAATTTGGGCTTGATTAGGGTTTAATTAATATGGGCTTGATTAGGGTTTCTTGTAGAAGGCTATTTATACCCCTCACCAGGGTTCATTCTTATTATCTTGGAATAAAGTTAGAGTTTAGCCTTTTGGCTGTGGGCAACGGTATTTTTCTCGTTGATTATCTGGGCAACGGTTCACCCCGTTGATTTCTATTTTTCTGTTACATTTCAATTGGTCCGACCTGCCGGATCCTGTCCCACCGGAATGACGAGATCAACCAACGAACGTTTATCAGAACTGGAGGCTGAACAGGTCCTAATCAATCAAAAACTTGACACGCAAGGACAGAAACTTGATCTGCAGGGACAGAAACTTGACACACAAGGTCAGAAACTGGAAGAGAAGGCCGCCCAGCTTGCGGAAATCGCAGCCTCTCTTGCAGCAATCGCGAAGGCCATGGTGCCGCCGCAGAAATCTCCCATCGCGACCGTCGAGAGCGATTCCTCCGGCCACGTCGCATCTGTCTTCTCCGATGATGGCGGACTGCGCACCGCAGCCACAACGCTACTTCCCTCGTTCGATGGCGAAGACCCAATTGGGTGGTTGGCGAGAGTGGAGCAGCAGTTCGAGCTCAACAGGACCCCACCAGACAGACAAGTTGCAGCGGCTAGGGTTTCTATGGAAGGGACTGCCCTCTATTGGGTGACGTGGTTAAAGGCGCGCAAACCTGGCATATCTTGGGAGGAATTTAAGCAAGCCTTGGTGGTCAGATTTGATTCCCGATATCAGGGAAACAGGTTTGAACGGCTGTCCGGCGTCAAACAAATTGGGTCGGTGGAGGAATACAATACCTTGTTCGTTCAATTGGCTAGCCAAGTTCCGGGATTGACCGACGATCATTATTTGGGCTACTACATGAGTGGACTTGGGGAAGCAATCCGAACCCGCACGGGTAGCTCAGTTGGTCGAGCGGTGGGAAAAATTGGACGTAGACCAAGGTTCGAATCCCGCAGCGGCCAAAAGGGGGTTTTCAGAACCTGAAATAAGGCTGGCCCTCTGGTGCGCACGGGTAAAGGCCTACTGCCGCTTTGCCGACTGAGTCACCGTGATTTACTCCCCCACCATCCTGTCGGGTCGGGGTGGGGGGGCCCTTGGGGTTGGGGATTAAACCTTTTTGGACGTGGGGAAGCAATCCGAAGTTCGTTGCGCTTATTACGGCCAGAAAACCAGGAGACAACCATGGAATTAGCTCGCGATGTGGAGCATAATCTGTCCGTCCAAAGTGGAGGAAATGGCATCCCGAATTATAATTCTGCAGGGGTACGTTCCAGCATCTTTTTAATGGCAAACACGGGTCCTCCTTTGACTGCCAGTGGTGGCAGCTTGCAGGGATCAAGGGGCAGCTTTGCGAAGGATAGTGGACAGCCTCCGGGGATGAAGTCAGGGCTGTTTGGGCAACCTACGACACGCTCTCAGTTCACTCGTCTTCCACCAAAGGAGTTCGCAGAATTGAGGGTGAAAGGATTATGCTTTAGGTGTAAGAAACCATTTACACCGGGGCACGACTGTCCCTTTAAGCAGCTGCGGGTAATGATACCCGAGGAGGAGGAAGAGTTAGACCTCCAACAGCATGAGTACTGTGAAATAACCGGCCAGGAAAGAGTTCAGGAAAGAGAGATGATATTTTCCAGGGAATTTCAGCTCCCCATCTGTCAGCTTTCAACCTTGAGGACAAGGTTATTTTGAAGGAGAATGGATTGATAGAGAGTGGGAAGAGCATGGGGCGAGACCGGGCTTGGGCCCACTTCCGTGGGCCGAGTTAGGACTGTCGTTATAGTTTAATTATTATTATTAAGTTAATGTTATGTTTTAATTTGGGCCTATTATTAGTAGAGTAGTTAGTTGAGTTAATTTGGGCTTAATTAGAGTTTAATTAATATGGGCTTGATTAGGGTTTCTTGTAGAAGGCTATTTATACCCCTCGCCAGGGTTCATTCTTATTATCTTGGAATAAAGTTAGAGTTTAGCCTTTTGGCTGTGGGCAACGGTATTTTTATCGTTGATTATCTGGGCAACGGTTCACTCCGTTGATTTCTATTTTTCTGTTACACATCATCTCCACACATCTCAACTCGCCTAACAGGTGCATCACTCGGTCTTCTACGCACATGACCAAACCACCGTAGGTGCGACTCCCGCATCTTGTCTTCAATAGGTGCTACTCCCACCCTTTGTCTGAATTGATAAAGTAAGAATAAAGTAAGAATGATTTAGAACCGCTCAAATTTTACCAAAAATGGGTATGAGGCAATTTTAGTGGGACGGACCGAAAAAGAAAGGTGGGACAATCATAGCGGGACGGAGGGAGTAATATATTAAAAATAATATTATAAATAATATTATAAAGTTTGTTTCAAAGTAAAATTAGAAAATATGATTTTTTTAATTCTCACTAATATCCCATGGAATATATTGATTGTCAAAGTCATGTGTTGGAAGACATGATATTCAAGGTGTTGCAACTAAATAAGAACAAATGTAATATAATCTGCCATAATTTATAAAATGTAATTTATAAAACTACAAGATTGAACTCTTAATGGTGCATGTGAATGTATCTAGAATAAATGGGGTGGGTGTGCATCATAGTTATTACGGCGTCGCCATGGCGTCGCCTAAATGTCGCTGTATCGTCGTGGCGCTATCTGAAGCTCGCCATGGGAGGTCGAGACGCCATAAACCATTTGGCGTCGACGCAGCGTCGTTTTGGCATCGGAAACACGCCATAGACGCTTAAGCGACGACCCAACCGTAAGTTAATCAATTTTGAACAGACCCAAACCCAAACCCAATTGTTTGAACCCATCAAAATCATAATATAATAAAAAAAAACAGACCTATCTACGATTCGATGACATCTCAAACGCACAGCTTCCATCCGTCTTCATCGTTCATCGTCCGCACGCTCAAGCTTCAGCTTGTATTTCCGTCGTCCAGGCTGTAGTCGCTTGTGTCCCACAGCTACTGTTGTCCGCTGTTTTTTTTGTTCAATATTTGTGTAGAGACTAGAGTTTGACTTGAGTCGGTTTAGTGTGTAGGTCTTTTTATTGTATTTTCTGAGTTACTCCAATACTATTTAATTTGTGTTGCTACTATTTTAAGAAAAGTTTCCATTGTTTCAACTTTATGAAAACAAATTTTATTTTATTTTTATTTAATGGATATGGATAATGTTGGATTATGGATAATGTATGTGATTGTTTTGATGACTATAGGTTTATGGTCTTATGGATTATGTTGTTTCTGTGATTACATGTTTTACCATTTCATTTTTAGTGTTGGCTACAAATGTTACATGTAGGCATTTTAGTATGTAAAACATTTTATGAATTTATTACTTTATATGTCGACTTATCGCCACGATGCCGCCGCGACGGGCGCCATATCGCCATGGCGGTATGGCAGTCCGGAGGCGCCGCGCCGCAAAACCACGCCGTAACAACTATGGTGTGCATAGAGTAATTGCCCCATTACTCATATAAATATAACAGTTATTCACTTTCGAATTGAATATGAAATTTCCAACTTCAGATCTACTAGGATTTGAACATCTGCGTGAATTTGGGAAACTAAAAGTTGAACTTGATTGAACTTTGGAACTTAAAATATACATTTGCACTTCAACTTGATACTAACCAGTGAGATTCATAACACATACCAATGCCATTTACTTATATTTGGTCAAAAAACATCATTTGCATCTCCTAAGTCAGGGATTCAAAGAGAGCTTTAAAGTCAGGGAAGTCAAAGAACTTTCAGGAGCATTTGTGAATGTCCAGGTCTTCTGATTGGTTTTGAACAATATTTTGTTGTGTTTAGTTTGACTAGCAAATTCTGGTAATGCTCATTTGTGTGCCCAGATCCATCTTTGGTTATACTTCCTTGTGGATGGTTGTCCATGCAAGTTACAAAATTGCTCTTGTGTACACCCTAGTCTATTGCAGAAGTAACAAAAGTCACAAAATTGCGGGGTACATTTCTATTATTCAACCTTGATCCTTCTACACATTGCTTGTTGGACCGTGGGTATGCGGTGCCAGCAATCTGCAAGCCTGTCGGTGCAATCGAACCGCGTGGTGCTTCACTTGTGCTATAAAGGGGGAGGAGCGTGCTACACTATCAGCGATTGCTTTTAGTGTAGCGGTAAGCGCAACGATCCACATTGCTCCAAAGCTACTCACTTCTAAACAGGTTAGGCATCTGATTAGGCAGGCTAGACACCATTTGAGAGCCCAACTACTGCCTAGTAAACATTGCTTCTGCCACAAATGAATAAAAGTTGATTGAATTACTATTAGATAACATAGTATGTTAACCTTTCAATAAAAAAACTCTATATATTAAGATACAGATTTTGTGCTTGAAAGAAGTCGTTGAACCCCCCTCTTCAGTGTCTAGGAACATTCTTTTCTTTTCACCAAGAACCTTGCTGCAGAACCCTTACTCTATCCAATGGTCGTCACATTGAGGTTGCTACTCAAGTGATCCATCAATAGGCATGTTGTGGTCTGCATAAGTGCTTGAAGTATTCCCTGAAAATTTTCCTTTAGCTTGCTAATATTCATTTTTTAATCAATAACAATATAAAATAGTACAGCTGTTATATGCCATCAGACTACCGTGATTTAGCTTGTTTTCATAATGAACAACATGTTTAAACTGACAAAACACGGAACTGTACCAGTACAAAGGGTAACAACAAACTTATACTATGGAGCATCAACCTGTACTCAAACATTCTTTTCACATTCTATTTCAACAGCTTTCTTAGATAAACGATCCTCAATACTTAGTGCCATAAATCTCAACTTACCTGCCCAAGCCCAATTTGATAAGTTTGAAAGATGTTTAGTGTGCAATTAGTAAGAACAAGACCTCGAGATTTAGGATTTAAAAAGAAAATGTTTGAACCTGTAAGGCTGTAACTGTTTGTTTAGGATTACAGATTATTAAGAAGCTTTCTGGGAGGCAGGATATGCTGCTAGAGATTACCTGACGCACTTGCGTGCTCGTGGGTGCAATTCAGTGTCACTGCAGATGGTGACACATCTCAATATGGCATTGAAAATGGTTGCTGAAGATGAGTGGGTTAGTTTGCAGGAGAATTCTTAAGACTTAAGGAGCTTTGAATTGGTACCCTACTACAATCAGAGGTCAGGAGGAAAGAGAGAGCAACAGTTATCTGTGCATGTTCCAGTTCATGTCAATAACACTTGTCCAGGACCTTTTAAGCAAGCTCAGGAAACAAGAGTGTTTGTTCCTCCTGATACTGTGATGATTATGTTGCTACTTAGCTGCATTTAACATAAATTGTTTTTGGCTTACAAGTGGTCTTTGAAAATCTTATTGTTGAGATGGAACTTCGAAGCTACCTCCAAACCCTTTACAAATTACCAGACATTTGCAATTCATCCCTGAAGACTAACGTTAGGCTTACTTGCACGTTTAGAAACAAGCCTCAGAAATTTCCTGCTCATAGGGTTGCTAACCATGGATACATTAAGAAGAAGCTGTTGACCATTCAAGAGGAAATCCCCCTACCTGCCCTTCATGAAGCCGATTTGGCTGTACATAAATGGAATAACATGAATAATTAGGTTTTTTTCAAACTCTACTCATTTGGGGCCAAAATAGTTTTGAAAGAAGTGTTTTTTGGGGGTGGAGGGAATATCAGCTTTCCCCATTTAATATCCTAGTTATCATGAGCAATGAATTAACATGTAAGGTGTAACACTACCCTTCCATGTTTTGAAGGGGTTATAGTATTTTCTTCCACAGTTTCTACCTTTCTCTGTTTCATAAATCCCGCTGTTCCCTTAAATCTTTATCTTCTGTTCTTGCAGATCATTTGGAGGTGAATGAATTGTCACATGGAAGCACTAATGTGTATGTAGAGTAGACTACTTGACTATTGTTGATCTCATTTTGTCGCACTTTATGATGGTGTTAGATGTTTTGATTGACCTGCAATTGGTCACCTCATGAATGTACACTTGGCGTTGTCTGACTATAATTATTTTGCTCCTTTTAGCTATATGTTGCTTTCCCATTTTGTTCATATTTACTAGTAGGCATTGTAATTTTTTCTTCAAACTCCATTTTTATTGTTTTACAGAAAATGGATGAAGTCAATGGATTTGGTGCCAGCTTCTTATGTTTTATTTTGCTCTTCTTCCTGTCACTTTAATCTCAGTGAAATTGGTGATATTCCTTATCCTGCATGTGTGTCCACACTTTAGGTATGGATGGACTCGGGCCGGGTGGTCCGACCCGGGACCGGCACTGTTCCGGCCCGGCCCGACCCGGTGGCCCGGCCGGACCGGTCTCGGGTCACCTAAGACAAGGTCCGACCCGGCCGGGCCCGGGCCCGATTCGGGCCAAAACTATTTTTTTTTTCATTTTTTTTAATTCCGGGTTGGGCTGGGTATTTTGGGCCATTTGGGGGTGGTTTGGGGGGTTGGGGGTGGGAGGGGGGTTAATTAGGAAGAGGGGAAAAAAATTGATAATGGGCCTGGCCCGGATCCGGTCCAGACCTGGACCAGATCCGGCCCGGCCCAAACCCGGACCGGACCGGACCCGGTGGTTACCCGGGCCGGTCCCGGGTCCACCACTCCTGAACCGCCGGCCCGACCCGGACCCGGCCTGGACCCGAGTTCATCCCTAACTTTAGGGGAGCCCCTATAATTTGAAACCCTCTCACTTTTTTAAACTAAAGAGGTTTCTCCTTGGAAATGTCATACTGATGTTATCAAATTATGTAATTACATACACTTGCATTTCTAGAAGAAAAATCTATACCATGAACTAAAATAAAATATATCATAAAGTTCATGAGATTAATATCACACATGAAATTGAGGGCATTCAACCCTAAGGAAAAAACTTTGTAATCTGGCAATCATCCACTTTTGAATTTTGATCATATTCCTTAAATATTTCACTTATTTTATTTAATTGCTCCAATCAATTTTCAGTTTTTCATCGACTTTAATTGCCTTTGGAGGAAACTGTAGGAATTGTACATAATAGAACTACTATAAAAGTGTAAGTTAAAAGTTAAAAAATTACCGTACTGGTAGGAGCAAATTAAGATACATGTAAGACTTCATTACCCTTTATAAAGTGGGCTATGTGAAATTTTAAAATGGACTAGTCATCGTTAATCGGTCAAACCGTCAAAGAATGAATCAAGGAGTGAATGCATATGAGGGTAACAAATAATTTTGATAAACAAAAGGGGCTAAATTTACTGAGAATCAAGGCAGTTATACAAAAGATCCAAACTGCAAAACACACTTGAGTTCCTGAGCTCTATATGGTTAATGAATTAATATGTGCTATAAACAAGTCATTCCATGTATCAGTAAGTCCAGGCAAACACCAATGCATGCAATCGTCGTGTTTTTTCCCGCCCACTGTTGATGGATGGGCATCCGCTCTGAATTCACTCATATGAGTAATGTCCAATATTCTAAATTTAGTTCCATCTAAGTTCCTGCGAAGGTGTTGATTCACAAGGTGTGCCTCACCATTAGTTCCATTATTCTTGAGAGAGAAAAATTCTTCTACCTGAAATGTGGTAACCCATGAGCAAATATATAATACATAGCATTAAGGGTTGGGATCAGGTGCTAATTTTGAATTCCCGAAAATCAATCACTCGATATATAGGATCGATTTTCCCATATATGTATGGTGGGAATATCTCACATATAACCCATACATACGTACATTACATAATCATGAATATGAATGGGTACATGTATGATGGGAAAATCTCACATGTTCCCATACATACATACATACATATTCATTCATGTGCATGTCTACTTGATATTAAAAATAATCATGAACCAACCAGGGAATTGGGTATATGTATCACATGTATCCCAATATTTCACTTCGCACCTCATCTTTTATTCTCTAAGCCTTAGAGATGCAAAGTTATACTTTGGAGTAAACATGTTGTGCAATTTGCATATACAAAATTTCCATCTTTGACTTGACAACTCATGCTTATATTTCAATGTGCATCCCTCTTAGGATGCATACTCAAAAGAAAATAAGACATGAGGTGCATAGACAACAAAACATTGGATGGGGTGCAAAATCAAACAAAATATGACCCAGGATGCAAATGACATATAGGAATTAACGTGAGATAAAATACCAAATTTCACAAAATACTATTTGATCATTGAATTTAATATGTTATCTACAATTTACGATTTACACAGTATTTAAAAAATAACTGTCGAATATGTTTTGATGATTTTTTCCCCAACATTTTGTAATTGACATAAATAATACAACTTCGGATTGAATCCCATAGAAACTAGTGTGCCCACCCGACACCCTCAACAAACATCATAATGTAATAGAGTTACCTCTTGAAGAGACAAAGGGTGTGTACGCTGACAGGAGCCACCATGGTCCCAATCACCACCCTCAAAATGCCTGGGAGACTGTGTTCTAAATAATATGATGGTATTTTCCCGAATTCTTTCCTCTATATATGATATCTAGAAAGTAGTCATATGCTAAAATATGTGAGCTTTATGAATGAGTTCTATATCACAAATCAGGAGCCCATTTGGTAAGGGTAAATTTGGCTGAGATGACTGAGTGAGACAGTAAGAGAATGAATCGAATTTGCTAAATAGGTTGGATTAAACATCTATTTATAATTCAGTTATCAACAAATTTACGGCAATAAAAAAATGCTTGAATTCATCCGGTTTGTCCATCAATTAATTATGTTTGCATTCTGCAGAAAACCATGCTAATATTAAAAAAAAATGCTCTACTGATCTGGCTAAACTTGCAAGAATACAAGTGCGGATATAGAGTATGATAAACAGATAAGATCTAATAGCAACTCCAACATTTCTTTACGCTCTCTTAGATATATGAAGAACATGCTAAGATAGATTAACACTACTTTCCATGCATTCTTGCAAGTTTAGCCCATATTTTTTTTCTATCCATTATATCAAACGCAAGGAAGACAAACATAGCAATACCATATGTTGAAGAACCAAATCAAGGCCTGTTTCGGGCAGTACAGGAGGCATGACAGGTTTCCCATCTTTGAAAAAAAGCATGGGTGATTTTATTGGGTCAAACTTCGAAGGAGCCCACCACCTAAGACAAAACAGAAAATAAGTAGCCATATAAATTGTGTATGCCATAGGAGGCACCACACATTGTAAATGCAAATCAATGCAAGGAACTTTTCATTGATGTCACAATAATAATCACAAATATGATTACCAGTGCCCCGTGTTAAAGATAAGAATATCATGGAAGAATGGAGCATCTGCCCATGTTCCTTCCGGTATGTCAACATCAATTTTGAATCCCTCCTTATATCCAAGAGATTCTAGTACACCAGCATTGGCATTGGCTGTCCACCTACCCAAAACAAAAAGAGTTTAGGATACAAAATCCAAGTACCATGCTTCAGTAGACATTACTTAACTTTTTATGCGCCAAGAGTTTGTGCCACTTTTGGTCCCCGAGTATTGTGTCAGTGACACTTTTGGTACATGACTTTTAATTTATCCATTTTTAGTCCTCAACTATTGTGAGAGAGACACTTTTAGTCCTCTACTTTCAAGTTTCCCACATTTAGTCCTTTGACTATTACCAAATTGACGCTTTTAGTCCTTCTACTATGATTTTGACACAATAAGTGGAGGACTAAGAATGTCTCTATTGCAATAGTTGAAGGACTAAAAGTGTCACTTTTACAAAAGTCGAAAGACTAAATATGGAAATTTTCAAAGACGGATACCAAAAGTGTTTCTCGCACTATAGTCGAGGACTAAAAATGGAAAAATTAAAAGTCGAGTACCAAAAGTGTCACTGACACAATAGTCGGAGGACTAAAAGTGTCAAAAACTCTATGCGCCAATGACATTAACTTTAACAAAATCATCAGCTATAAAACCACATTAAATAACAAAGCTATAACCCAAGTCATCTCTGATAAGAAAATACATCATGATGGTCAGTGCTTCTTAATCCATTCTGCACTCCATAATTCTACCAATTCTCATGAACCACACATATACTTGATTCTTTATTTAGGATTCAATACCAGGAAGCAAATATCAGAAAACATGAAATGGACAGGAAAATAAATCCACAAGAAAAATGTAGTCCCAGTGTACTCCATCCACCCAGAAATAGAGCAAGGATAGGTCTACATTGTTTAGCTACAAACCATATACGCCATGCAATTATTTGATGTGGAGAAGTGAAGCAACTTTTCACCATCCAATACGTGCATACCACCTACGAATTTAGGGGCGGAATGTAGGAAATGAATTTAGGCTCAGAATTCTTTCCCAAACAAGGGTCTTGCTTGATCATACACGAATATTCATATCTGGAATTTCCAGACAGGACCGTCGTCCAGTCACCTCATATTGAGGTGTTTCCCGGTGGAACTTTTTGATGAAAGTTTGTGAGCATGTTCTGCATCAAGTGTAGATTATGTCCACAAAAGTTCGGCTAAAACTTCAATCAAGAAGTCAGTTGAATTTTTTAAAATAACTACGTTTTCATATACATTTTGGCACATTTATATTCAAAAAATTATTTAACTGACTTTGCGATTGAATTTTTAGTTGAAATTCTGTGGATATAATCTACATGTCATGGAGAACATGCTCACAAAATTTCATCAAAAAAATCCACCGGGAACCACCTCAAAACGAGGTGGGCGAATGGTGGTCTAGTCCGGAAATTCCGGACAGGAATACTACTAAATATATATCTTACTATATATATAAAGAGCGAATGTCGTTATCATGGGCCTATTCCATTACAACACTGCAGACGGGTTTTTTTTACGCGCAAGGCCACTTAACGGAAGCTTTTCGTTTTGTTTCCGCGCCTTTAACCGCTTCTGTGGACAGGAGAGTCTTGGCACTGTTGCTGTTTTTGAACGTGCGGACAAGCTCCCCCGGATGATATAATAACCTTTTCCGCAGCTTGGATACCCATACGCGAAGCTCTCTCTTTTCTTGATTTGCTCCTTCATCTCTCTACGTTTGTTCTCGCTCGGAATTGTGAGTTCTCTCTGTTGCTTTCCTTTGTCTTGTCTTTGTTGTCCTTTATTTTGTGTTGGTGTGACTGTTCGTCCGTTGTGTGTGTTTTTGGGTTTTGTGGGGTGAGCCATTACATGAACTTTGGGTTTTGGGACATGAGGGTTCTTGTTTATGGTTGTTTGGCGTCTTGGCTGAGACCGTTCTTTTGTTTTTTTAGCACTGTCTTGTGCTGGGTTCTGACCCTGTGGTGTGGGTTTTGTTTGCTGTTTGGGTGATTGTGAGTTGCAGGGATGTTCGTGACAGGGTTCAATGGGGTTTACATTTCTTTCTTTGAGTTTGCACTTGTGTTGTGGCTGTTTTATCTGCTGTGACTTGGAATGACAGGGACTATGGGGTTTTATGTTCCTTTGGTTGAGTTTGAATTTCTCCTGCAGCAGTTCTTGTTCATGGTGTGGTTGTGGAGGTGTGGGATGTTATGGCAATTTTCATTGTTTTTTGTGTTGTTGGATGTTTGGTATGCAAGGAAGTTGTTGTTTAGTCATGTGGTGTGGTGGTGGTGTCTTCTTCCTCCTGATAAGAATACTCATATATGGTTTATTTGGTGTGTTCTCAGGTGTTTGGGAAGTCCATTCTGCAACTACAACGCCTACTGTGCGGTTCTTGTAAGTATTTGTGAGTGCTGCTTTGGAGTTTTTTTATAGTTATGTGTTTTTTGGCTGTTTTTTTTGGTATGGTTGTCCTGCTTTGAAATGTTTTCTTCTTCTATGTTATGGGGTTGAATTCCCCTTGAACTGTGCCTTTGTTTGTGCTGTGATGTGTGGAGCCTTTGTTTATATTTGCCTACTGCCATGACACTTGAATTTATATGTGGGTGTGACAGTTGTTTGACTTGGGTTAGGGTGGATTCCCATTGTTGTATATGGTAGTGATTCTTTGGGGTTATTATTTTGTAATGGATGAGTAACACATTTGTCGATCCCGTCCGTAGGGGGTTCGGCAGCGTTGTTGCCCCCGATGAGCAGCGAGCGCGCCGAAGCAAACGTCGGCGCGAAGTGAGGAAGGCCTTGAGTTCGGGTGTGCAAAACGTTGAATCATTGCTTCCGGTCCATGGTGTTCGTTGTGATGCTGGTCTTGCAGGTGTGTCATCATTCGATATGGCTCCCTTTTGTGAATTCTCCTCGAGCCGAATCAGTGATGGTATCTGATGTTTCATTTTTTCCCGTGATTCCAAAATTGAACCGAACCTTATTTCCCGTCATAGGGGTGAGCATTCGGTCGGTCGGTCAAGTAACCGACCGATAACCGAATAACCGACCAAATTTTTTAACTCTAATAAAAGATCGAAACCGACCGATAACATCACAATAACCGACCGAAAAACTGTAGTTCAGTTTCGGTCGGTAACCAAATAACCGACAATAACCGACCATACAAATTTTTTAAGCATATTTTTTCCAAAAAATTGAATGCTTTAAATAAAAATATTAGAAAAAATATTTGATACAAAAATGGATGAAAATAATTGATTTTTTACACTACAAAACAAAATGAATGAAATAACTGATCGTATATAAAATGTTTTTTCTCCATTCATGAAATAAGTAAGAAGAAATGAATTAAATCATCTCATAATAAAATTAGTTTTGTTACGCTACTGGTAGTTTTTCTTGTGCACGAGTGTCATTTTATTTCTTTTGGGTTAACCACTAAATACTAAATACATGAGATTTATTAAAATATGAGGGCTTTCCTTTAATATTACGGAGTACTAGATACTAAAGTAAACTAGAATATGACTAAAGTTAACATGAGTATACCATTCATGATATGTTTGTATCCACAATATTAATTTTGGTCATATATTTGACATTATATCTTAGAGTAATTATGATATGTTTTTAAGTGAAACATCATAACATAAATGAAGTACATAGAAACGTTTATACGAAGTAGATTATTGTTGATAAAACGAAGAGACGTCATTAATCTAGGATTTATTTTCCTTATTATTACTGTAATTATGTATCTTTAGTGCTTCAGGTTGTATTTAATAGCTGCTGTCTTTTCAGTTCTCAATCATTTATGTTTAGTATTTAGACAGTCACCTAGGGTGCTGAATAGACTCTCTCAGGATTCCTATCTGTATAAATAGCTTATGTACTTCTTGTAAATGAATTCAAGGAAATAATATTCAGAAAACTTCATGGTATCAGAGCTTGGTTTCGTCTAAGCCTTTTTTGAGTCAGCCTATCACCTCTCCAACGGTCATTTTTTGGGTGTCTCTACCCTTCTCTCTCTTTAACTCCCGGTGGAGTCTCTTCATCAAGGGTTTTATCATGTCTAAAGAAGCCGAATCAGCCTCAAGTAACCTTGATCACTCAACCATTGTTTCAGCTGCTACTGCAGCCGCGTTTGCTCTTCGAAACCAGAAATTTGATCTCCCTTCTATCCCGCCATCTTACCGTCTCAATGGCAGGAACTATCTTGGGTGGTCAAAGCTGGTTTACACTCTTCTACGTGGCAAAGATCTTGAAGATTATCTCACTGTCTCTACCCCAGAAGAAGGAGAGATTGATGCTGCTATTTGGGAGAAAACTAATGCCAACGTACGGGTCTGGTTATGGGACTCTATGGATCCCAACATCAGCAGTACATGTTTATACATGGACTCGGCTAAAGAAATCTGGGATTTCATACAGCAGTCCTACTCTGTTGCTAAAGATGGCGCTTTTGTCTATGACTTATGGCTCAAAACAACGAATCTTAAGCAAGATTCACAATCTGTCACAGATTATGCAACTGACCTCCAACGACGATGGTCTGAACTTGACCAGTATCAAACGATGAAGTGGTCGAATGCTGCAGATGCAGCTCTTCACAAGAACTATATAAATCAGCAACGTCTATATTGCTTCTTGTCTGGTTTAAATCCCGAATATGATCAGACTCGGGGTCAAATTCTTGGCATTACTCCTCTGTCTTCCATATCTTCTGCCATTGCCACTATCAAACATGAAGAGAGCAGACGCTATATAATGATGAATACAAATCTGATTGACAGTACAGCTCTTGCTGCCAAATCTACTCCTTCAGATGTTAAGGAAACTAAGGGTAGTAAGGGAGGAAGATGGTGTGATCATTGCAAGCGGTCCAACCATAATGTGGATACATGCTGGAAACTTTATCCTCATCTACAGAAAGAAAGAAAAAGCCAAGACAGACGTGGAATGAGTGCTGGACGTGCCAACTCAGTCACTCCCACTATTGTTGAGAGCTCTACTAATCTTTGGCCCATTTCCCAGGAGGAATTAAAGCAAATTCGTATGATGTTACAGTCTCTTAATAACTCAAATGGTT